CCAACTTTACTACCCGGTCTAGCCATGATAGCTACCTTGTGCTCCGTATATTCATGCGAATTATGGGGTATGTTGCTTTTCGAAGCAAGACCTTAGGAAGCTCACTAAAAAGGAGATTAAATGCCTCTTTATAGCTTCTCAATTTGAGGGGGATCTTAAGGGTAATGTAAATATGGGATACTTGTTTATAAAGAGGTGTATAGAAATAAGGAAGAGTACGGAGTTAAGAGGAGAGATAAAATGCGGGGGTATGATCACGATCATCGCAAAGGCATTGGGGTATACCAACTACCTTGACCAATTGGTCCCTTTAAATGGTCCCAATGTCCTTGACATTGGTGGACTTTCATCAATGCACATGCTTGTTGAAATCCATGGTCGTGTGACACAATACTCTTGGTTGGTCAAGATTAAGCACCGTTGCATGCTTACAAATGCAGCAGTGATGAACACCGTGGGGAACACTTGGTAAGTGCCAATTAAGCCACTCCCCATCCCATCCTCGCCGCTATAACAATTTCACTATTCCACGATTCATGGGTGGTTCCTCTTCTTCTTCATCTTCTTCTTCCTTTGACCTAGAATCTACTTTCAACCAACTCAATCTAACCAACCAAAGAATTTTACAAGCAAATAAATACCAAATCTTCGTTTGTGAGATGACATATCAAAACCAAGTTGAAAGGTGAGACTTTCCTTCCTATGTTAACTACCCTTACCGCCCCGTTCAAGAAGGGCTAATTCCGGGTTGGAACAACCAATCCACCTATTGGCAAGGGCCCCGTAGCTCCATTTCAGAGTTACGATCTTATCTTCCCTTCGATTATACACAGACACAGCCCGGGGTTTGTGACTTTAGGGAGGGACCCTTCTAATTACCACGTCACTGAGACTTGTGGTAATATGACCCCTAAGGACATCGATAACCACTCCTTAAGGGGATACTTTAGGTGTACCCGGGTATGATGGTGGTTGGGGCGAGAGTAGTGCGTCGGATTTCGGCCACTACCAAAATTGTCACAACTAAAATCTTCCTCCTTATGTCGATCATCCCTCTTATACCGGCGATGTAGATCCAAATTATACATGCCATTGCCGCCAAGAGAGGATGATGGGGGTGATATGTAGACATTTGTAATTATTGCTCCCTTTTCTCCATTCCCATCATTTATAACACCGAGGGCGGTGTCGATTTCTAGCTTCGGAGGATGTTGTTTTTCAATTATTTACATTTTATAATGGGAACTTTAAGCAAATGTCTAGCTTGGGGGGTCTTGTGGTCCTTGTGCATAGGGGTGGTTTTCAGTTTTGATAGTGTATGAGCTTATTTGTGATGCTATTTTTGTGCATGTATTGAGAAGTTTGAGCCTAGATGTGGAGTGTTTGGCATGTGAGGCTTAGTTTTGCCTTTGGGACTTGTGGTTGGTTTTCTATTATAATATGTTTTAGATTGCGTGCCTATTTTAGGTTGGTCGTTGTTCTTTTCATGATTATATGACACGTCTAGGCTAGAATGATTGAATGTTGATGTGTTTGCCTTACTATCATATGTGTGCTTTAGAGCCTCTTTCATGTATATTAGCTTTGGTCTATTTGAGGTTGGATATCTTGATGGTTGAATGCATGACATGGTTGGTTTGCCCTTGGTCTCTTTTTGATGATAATTGTGATGATTAATAAGTTGATGATTCTTTTCCCTAACAATCCAAAACCCTAATATCCAAATCTTTTTCTATCTCCCTTTTTCTTTTCCTTAATATCCAAATCTCTTTCTTTCTCCCCTCTTCTTTTCCCTACTATCCAAATCTCTTTCTTTCTCCACTCTTCTTTTTCTTTCTCTTTCTCATTATCAAAATCTCTTTTTCTTTCATGCACAAACTCACTCTCAAATGGAGGCTCACTTATGCTCACTTACTCGTAGTTTTTCTTTGGGGACACTCTCTTCCAAAATCTTCCCACTCCTAGTTGCTATGGCATTGACGGGGCTCTTTGGGTCTTGCCCTTGTGGCGGAAGTATGGAAGTGTTAGTCCCTTTCTTTAAAACATTTGCCAATTGAGAAATTGGTATTTCAAGCATTTTATTATGAGTCATTACTTCACTAAATTTCTTATCACTAGTGGCCATGAAAGTGTTAAACATCTTTGTTTGACTTTCAATCATTTCCTTTAAATTAGGTCTATGTGGAGGTGCATGTGCATAATAATTAGCTTAAGGAGCTTTAGTACCTGTCACATTGGAATTAGAAGCATTTTGATTAGAAAACCCTCAAATGTTGATATTATTCCAATTGTTCCTAGCATTAGTGTTTTGTCCTTGGTGATATTGATTTTGATTCCCATATTTCCATGTATTATGGTTATGGTTACCATAACCACCTTATTGGTTGTAGTTACCTTGGGGATTTTGGTCCCTTGGTCTTGGTTATGGTAATCATATCATTATTTCTTTGATTATAGGAATTTCCCCCTTGCCCTCTTTGATTAGGTAGTAGATACCTTTGATTGTCACATATAGGTCTATTATCATAAGACAAAGCATTGACATGTCCATTTTCAAGTTCATTATTATCCTCATAAGTGCCACAATTTTCATAAAAAAGACACCTACTAGGCATGTTATTAGACGTAGAAGTAGAAGGATTAGAATTCATACCTCTCCCCTTAGTGTGAATAAGGATAATCAAGCTTGGCTTTGATTGATGTCATCTCCTTGCCGAGATTGGTGTTTTGAGATGTCAAATTGTTAATAGCATTGAGAGCATCAACACTCGTAGTATAATTTTATACCACGGTGTAAAAACTCATTAAAAACATGCAATTTTTTACTACATAGGTGGTATAAAACTATACAATTTGATGGTATATACCATCCCATGGTAAACAATTGCTTTAGTCCCCGTGAAACATGAACAAACTAGGTCACGGCATGTGGCTTAATTATCATGTATCTTTTATTTTTTTTTTTCACTTGCATTTTAAGAAAAAAAATTATAAAGTAAAAAATTATAAAAAAATTACCGTTGTTCATAATTTTTCAAGACCTACACATAGAAACCCATATTGATATCGTTTTATATTTTTTCGAATTCACTTTTTACTACATAAATTGCTTATTTTATTTAATTAACTTTACAAACATTAATTAGTTATTTCCAATAATAAAATGAAATATAATTATTTTTAAATTAAGTGTATTATTAATACAAATAGGAGAGAGAAAGTGTGGTAGTAAACTTTTTTTATACCATGGAAGGGATGATTTTTGGAGAAAGTATATTGTATTGTGGTATAGATGATGTGGAGGAGTGAGAAAGTGGTAGAGAGAGAGGGATGGTATAAATTTTTATACCATGAGTGATGATGGTCTGAGGTGATTGGTGGAGTAAATCACATTCCCTTATATTCTTGAGGACTCCCTTTCCCCTTCTTGCCAATCCATATGGTACCTCAGAACATTCTCTATGATCTTTATCACTTGCTTCTCTGTCTTATTCATTATCAATCCACCGGCTGCATCCAAACTAGTCTTCCCTTGGGGCTAAATGCTCCATAGAAAATTTGAAGCACATGGTATGTGGGAATACCATGATGAAGACACTCCTTTTGATATTCTCTATACCTTTCCAATGACTCATATATGGTTTCACTAGCTCTTTGCCGGAAGCCTTGGATCAATGCCCTTGCTTCGGCCATCTACTATTGAGAGTAGAATCTCGCTAGGAAAGTCGTGGTGACTTCATCCTAAGTTCTCAAAGAATTGGGCCTTATCTCCTTCTCAAGCCACTCAAGAGCTCTTCCTGTTAGGGAGAAATGAAAAAGCTTTAATCTCAGAATCTCTTCAGAGACCCCGTTCACCTTGATAGTGTTACAATCTCAAACTTGTTCAAGTGTGCAAGGGGGTCTCGAGCTTTGCTCCACTAAATTGCCTCCTTTCAATCAAACTTATCATCACGAGCTGAATCTAAAAAACATTAGTCGGAGTTGTTGGAAGAGCAACCCCACTTGAAGCTCTAAGCTTCTGGAGTTCCAAAGGTCTTTGTGGTGGTGGTTCACCCATTTTTTCTTGTTGTTCCTCGAAATTGAACTCTGTAGTTGGGGAAGTATTCAAGGGCCTAGAGTCGGCTCTCCTTTTTCTTCTATAAGTTTGTTAAATCTCTGGATCGTAAGGTGATGGGTTCTGCGCATACACATACAACAATTGCAATTTGCAACAAGGCTATATATATAGCCAAAAAGAAACAAACTCTTTTTGTATTTTTCTTTTATTGATGAACTAGACTCAAGCCCTATATATTGCCATTAAGCCCAAAATCAAGGGTAGCTACTCCTATCAAAGTGAACTAACAAACAATCTCATGTAATCAATTCAATCATCAATACTTATCCCAAAGTCACTTAATTAACCATTAGATTGAGTTTTACCCAAGCCCTAGCAAAGAGGACTACTCACAACACATTGTGAGTAACATGCAAAGTACTAAGCAGTTGCGTATCAAAGCAATTAGGAATTCCGAACTATGGGTTCGAAATCTTAAAAAAAAAACGATGATCATATATTAATTAAGGACATTTTGTGAAAAACTACCTTATAAAACACTTTTTTGCGAAAAACTATCTAATAAAAAAAATGTTGTAAGAAACTACTTTATAAGAGGGTAATGTTGTAAGAAACTACCTTGGCCGAAAAGTCATTGTTGACTTTTATTTTCCGGTGTTGACCACATCACGTGCCAATTAAGGAAAAAGGAGGGAAATGGTGAATTAAAAGTCACGTGATTGGCACGTGGTGTGGTCAACGCTGGAAAATGAAAGTTAACGGTGACTTTCTGACCAACGTTTGACGTTATAGAACATGGTACGGGAACGGAAACGTGGTACGTAGGTTATAGAGTTCCCGGATCATTTGGTTATTTCCTTGAATACATATATATAATCTGATTTCTTTGAAAAAAAAAATGGAAATTAAAAGTTGAAAGTGAAATTAAAAACAATACTTTGGATGATATGGGTTTTTGTTACGTGAAAAATTGATAGATTTTCTTTGTTTAAAAAAATAAAGTTAAGATATGCTCTACTAGTTGTACTCTACTAACTGAGTGCAATATTAAATTATTAAGTGGAGACACGGAATACTAAGAATTAAAAACAATTAAGAAAAAAAAAAAAGATAAAAAAGAGGGTCCACAATTTTTTATTTTTTTTATTAGGTTAAGATGTAGTCAGCCGTCATCTTCCTCTTGCCTTCATATTTCTTCATCTTCCTCCATTAAAAGCTTCGATTAAACCTCAAAACTTTAAACAAAAAAATTACAGCTGCAATTCAAGAAAGAACTAGAAGGTTCCTAACTTCCTACACTCACAAATGGGTACTCCATCAAAGACGAACTGGATCCTGAACCATCACGAACCGGAACGAGTCACTTCTGCGTTTCGGGACTCACGATCTAGTTCGCAGAACGCGCCATCGTCCTGCGTTCCGTGTATCGTTGTTTCCGACCGATGGTAGTCTCTTACAACATTTACCCTTTTATAAGGTAATTTCACATTTTTTTTATTAGGTAATTTCTCGTAATAAAAAGTGATTTATATAGTAGTTTTTCACAAAATTTCCATTAATTAAATATTCAATACATAAGTTCAAATTTTTTAATTACGGATTACACAATTAAAAAAAAAAATACTACAAAAGCATTCATACGGCGAATAGCCTCGAATCTGTGACCCCCTGGTACTAAGTTAGGGTTTTAACTTTTAAGTAGTTTAATAATTGGGGAAAAGTAATTTACTAAAGATATAACTAACATGCAACAACAAATTATCAAGATCAAAAGAGATACAAAAGACTTGGAAGAACAAAATAAATTCAAAAAATAAACTAGAGAAAAGTGAAGAAGTTACTAAGATGGAGCTTCAATGTTGAATACAATTGCTGAAAACCCGAGAATAAACCTTGAAATTTGCTTCTACAATGATTAATTTGAGCAACTAATTCAATGAATTAAGTTGCTAACTAAGAGGAAAGTTGCTGAAATCTATTCTAAAACTTTCGTCCTTAATAACGAACAAAAGGGGAAGTATTTATATGTTAGGAAATATTATGCAAATTTCCTTTAGAATTAGATTAGTGGGAATAAAAATAATAATATAAACAATACAAATAAATGAGCAATATTTGTATCTCTAATTATGCTGCAAAACTTTACTAAAGAAGATATAATACACAAGTGTTCACAACACTTATTACAACTCACAACCATATGCACCCCAATTACACCCGAGAATTTTCTCTAATAATTCTCTTAAAGCTTCTCTCTATCTGCCTTATGTTTTCTTTTTGTTTTTGTGATGATTAAAAATGAAAAACAAAACGGTACTTATATATAGGCTTATGGAAGCAATGCTACCCACCTATTATTTAGCAAATGCATGAACCATTAATTTAATTTAGTAACACTAAATAAAGGCTCCTTAATCCTCTATCTTTCATATTTTTAGCATGCTAAATAAAAGCTTATATCTCAACAATCTCCCACTTGAAGACTGATTTTAATATGTCTTCACACCTTACTTCATGCAAGATAATGTTTTCGTATGTTACTAAAGTAGGCTAACTAAAGTTGAACATAACTTCAGTTTGTCAATAGTCACCGTTTTTGTTAACAAATCTGCCGGATTCTTAGTTCCTTGAATTTTCTCCAATGTTAGCACTTCATCTTCTAATAAAGATCGAATAAAATGATACCAAAGTCCAATGTGCTTTGTTCTAGAATGAAATGCTGAATTCTTTGCCTAGTGTATCGCACTTTGACTATCACTATACAAAACACTATTCTCTTGCTTGAATCCCAACTCAGTTAATAAACCTTGAAGCCATATTATCTCTTTAATAGCTTCAGTTACCGCTACATATTCAGCCTGCCTCTGTAGTGGATAGAGCAACAATCTTCTGTAATTGCGACATCCAACTAAGTGATTATATAACCCATGGTGCTTTTACGGAGATCGACTTCACCTTGTACTTTTAACCTTGTACTTTTAATTCACCTTTACCAAAGTACAAACACTTCTCTATAGTACCTCGTAGATACCTCAAAATCCACTTCACTGCTTCCCAATGAACTTTTCCTGGATACCTGCTAACAACTCCCACTGCATGTCTAATGTCCGGTCTCGTACAAACCATTACATACATCAAACTACCAATGTATGACGCATATGGAACCTTAGCCAAATAGTCTCTATCTTCCTTCGTTTGGTCCTTGGATAATCGAAAGTGACTTGCCAAGGGTGTACTAACTGGCTTGGCATCACTCATACTAAATCTCTGTAAAACACGTTTGATGTATTCTGATTGAGATAATTTCAATGTACCTTTATGCTTATCCCTTGTAATTTGCATTCCAATAATTTTCTTTGCTAGACCTTCTTATATCATCCATATAGACATGAGTGAAGAATGCATACTAACATTAGTTACTCGTTATATTTTTTCTGATTCTCAAATTCAAACTCCATCCATGAATCTGTCATTAGTGTTTTTCTTATTTCTAAATAACAAATCTTCCTTTCTCTCTCTCAATAACTCAAAAAAATTTCATTATTAGTATAATCAGAGTAACGTATCTAGCAAAGTATGGATTAGTACTCTTTAACAAATGAGCATTAAGGATGGATTGATACAATTGAGCATTAAGGATGGATTGATAGGGGAATCGGGTAAATTGAAAATTCATCAAGGGATAAAGGTTAAAATTCTAAAGTCATACATTAGGCAAGCCTCCCAAATTTCAATCAGCTTAATCCTATTTCCAATATGATTTTTGCTAGCTTTATTTGTACCATATTAATTTATTTCTAAAGCTATTAAATTGTTGAATTGTGCTAAACATACCACACAATAATTTTTTTTTAAATTTATTTTACTGTAGAAAAATATTTAAGCGTAAATTTGAGCTTAAGTGTGGATGTCTTTTAATTGTGTAGGTTTAGCTTATACAATAGTACAAAACTATGTACTACGTAAAACTAATAATGTTGCTCAAATTTTGTTACAAAGATAGATTGTTTTTTCATATAATTAAATCTGATAAATAATAAGTTTTGCATAAAATATTATCATATACAAAGTACTTAGTAATCAATACGAAATACTTAGTAAAATTTTAACGGCCCAAATTTTTGGTAGCACAGGGCCCCTAATTTGATTAAGACGGCCCTGGTCTCCACTATTTCAAATTACTTTCCATCCCTTCTTTTGTTTCATCAATTAACACCTGCAAATATCATGCACCATGGTATATTGTTTTGAACTTAACTTGAGTTCGAATGTCTTAATTGGTAAAAATTAAAGGACAAAGCATAAAACCTTGATTTATTCTAATCGTGATAAGGTACTCTTCTTCTTCCCATGGCTACCAGTCTTGCTAGCTCCCTGATATATGTCGTTATTAATATCAATTATTACCACAATATGAGCTCTCTGTTAAATCCCACCAAAGTATTTTCATTTGTACCTTATCATAAGCATTGTGTACGTCAATGAAAACCATAAGTAAATCCTTCTTATCCTAATATTTGATCTTCCTATTCCCGAGATCTTCAACATCTTCTTATCATTTGTTCAATAAATTTTTCCCAGAGTTTCATACTATTATTCTTACAAAAAGAAAGTAAAATACCTTTCCAATGGCATTTTAACTTCCCCAACAATGTCGCCAATCGTTTAACTTGACCTTTCTAAGCCTCAATAGGGATGACATCGGGCCTTTCTTCATTCCCATCTATATCAAAGTAGGGCCTCCAGTTATCCTTAATCTCTTCACACACTTACCTTTAAAAAAGTAATCTTGTTTCTTCGTACTCTAAGATGAGCAAGTCTATTAATGCCATTTTTTCAAATCCAGGCTTGCATAAAGATCCTGATTCACCTTTGCTTTTACGTCATATGGCCATCTATCGTTCTGTTTTAGCTTCTTTATCCTGTTTATACTACTTGTTGTTCTCATTCTTCTAACAACTCTTGTAACATATATTATAGAACACATGTTTGATCTTTTTCACTTGTCACTCTTCTGTGTTTCACCAATGTGTCTGTATTCGGTAGTACACTTATCTCTATTCTGTTTATTCCCTATTGAATACATATATTTATCCATATTACATGACCTCATAATTGTAGTGGACATATTATCTACAATATTTTTTTTGCTTCACCCCTAGTTGCCACTACTTAATCTTACTTTGTGGTCTTCTCTACCTTATGGCTTACTTTGTGGTCTTCTCTCACCTGGGACCACTTTACAATCAATGTTGCTCTTTCTCCTAGCATTCCTTTGAAAAAAAAAACAAAAACAAAAACAAAACATATTTGTTCAAGGGACTCAAGGACCATTTTAGGAATGTATTCCCCGTTGTTAGGACTAGCCTTAGTTAATCAAAATGTTGCACTGTTTAAAGAAAGTTTTCTATAGTTAGGACTGTTTTAATTAATTTTTTTCCAAAAACTGAAAAAATAAATCAAAAAAGAAAAGTTAAAGGCATCAAGGAGGGTCTGGTTACCTATGCAAAAGAAATGCTAGAACTTTTCAGCTCATCTACTTATTTAATAGTCAAAAAATATTTGAGACCCTGTTTATTTGTCTAATCTATCTGATAAGACATTTGCACATATATATACACTTGGGCCGTGATTTCGTAAATCTAGCACCCTTGTATAAGTTGTATTAGTCTGCAGTTTTTATGAGATCTGTATTACGGTTTGTCTTGAATTGCATACGCATAGAACTGAAGTAAGAATAGATGTTCAAGCCTTGAGTACGATTATAATCCGTCTTATTGATAGGAAACAGCACAATTACACTCAACTGAAACAGCGACTTCTGTCTATAACACGTGCATGATATGCCAATTCTCTCTTCAGTGGCTTTATTCACATTGTTCAGTCCTGTAAAATATTTAAAGACCAATTTTTAAACTAACTTGGGTTTGGTTTTGGTTTTATCTGTGATAAGACACTTCATAGGAACAAATGCTACATCAACGTTTCGGACCATTGTCTCCGGTTATCCAGGACGACTCATTCTTGTTTCAATTCAAGTAAGTAAATATAAAATTATTGTTATAATTTTTGTATATTGATATAAGGTATACGTATACCCCAGTAACCCCACTGTCAGAAACTGTGACTGATAGTGTTTCTAGAGCTGTCATATACTTTCAGCCTTTAGAACAGATTTTTCTTATTTTGTACATGCAAATGTAAATCTTCCATACCTACATTCTGAGCAATTTTTAGCTTCATTTTCCTTTGTCTAGATTGTGTTATTGTCTTTGTAGGTTTTTCACTCAAGCATTAGCGCTCAAAGTCTTAGTGTATGCGGTCATCATTGTAGCTCCACTAGGTATCCATTAATATGTTTAGTTTTGGGCTTTAGCTAGTAATGCTATATAAAACTCCAGTTATATTTATATAATTCCCCTTATCCTCTTCTCAAGTAATATGTATTTGCTATTAGCAGTAGACTATACACTCCCATGCAATCTGCTCTATCCAGAATACCAAGGCGTGGCGAAACTGCCTCTTCACGGGAGCTATCTAAACCATCAAAACTGGTGCTTAAAATTATGTAGTGCACCACTTTTCTGTTAAAATCCTACAGAATTGAGTTATTATGTGTTGTGACATCTGTGCTCGCTTGTATGCTTGTCAATTAACAAATTTCTGTATTAATTAGCACACTTCTGTCAAACTCATTGTATTTAGCATTCTTTCAGTGCAACTATGTTGGATAAGAGTGGGTACATAAAAAATAGTTTCAATCTGGGTGAACGAACAATCAAATACAATATTGGTGATCTGTATATTATAAATAAAGTTGGTAAACTTGACCCAACTTACCCATACAGATAACTAGTTTCAGATATCTGCATGAGATCTGAACTCGACCTGAACCCAGAAACCCAATCTTGTTCAAAACTGAAATTGGCTTGATTTGATAAAAATTTATCCAAAACTTAATGTGTCTAGAATGAGTATGTGATTGATTTTTTTTTTTATTCTTATATAATTAATTGATGATCGACCCAAAAATGTTGAATTCTGTTACTATGAACTAACTAAAACTAAATCAAATGCATCATTTCTCTGATGCGACTTAACACGCATCAGCCTCAATAGAATCCTAAGCTGAATTACCTGTTCGTTGCATCTGTAAGTATTCAAATTTTCATTTGGAACCCAAGCATATTTTTCCTAGACTGTGTCAGAACTAGTTTTGTTTTATGTGTTAATATATAATTTTAATAGAGCTGATTTTCTCGTAGCTAATGCCTTTCACATGGTGCACTTTGCTCTTGCTCTCTTAGACATGACTGCTTGCTAGTTTGTCACATCAAGTTTCATTGTGCTATCTTCGAAAAGATTATATATCCAGCATTCCAGCTAACTCTTTTGTTATATTACAGTGTCCTAACCCTGATTTCAATGAACCTGAGCATAGATGGAGGATGGTGAAGAGGTCGCTAGTTGAAGCCATAGCCGATGAGCTTGCTCCCGGTGGGAAGGTAGAATAATCTTACAGTACTATCTTTACCAATTCCATTCCTTTATCAATATTTTATTTCCTGGGCACCCCCTATATATTGCCTACTTGCTGTACAACTGGCACGGCTACTTTTTGACTGAGTATCTTATTGTTTTGAATCACTATGTTTATGTTGGAGGGCTTGACCAGGTGAGGGGAAAGGGGGGTGGACATCTGTTAGCTGTTAAATTGTTTACGATTCACATATTCCGTATTTGGACTACATATATCTTTGCTGCTTCTGTAAATTCAATCTTTAGTCTGCTGCTATATTTTTGACCTTCAAGCTGACATGTATAAGCTTCCCCCAATTCTGTCATATTGTAGGTGTTTCTTCAGTCAGATATTGAAGAAGTTGCGATGAGAATGTGCAAGCAATTCTTAGATGAAGGAAAGAATAAGCTTGTCATTGCCTATGATGATAAGAGTATGATAGCAGGCCCAGGAGGATGGCTTACAGAAAATCCATTTGGAGTTCGGTCTGATTGGGAACGACATGTCCTTGCTCGCGGGGCTCCCATGTGTAGATTGATGTTGTGTAAAAAGATAGCTGGTGATGTAGAAAGGCAATTATATGACACCTAATAATATTATTTTGATATTCGAATAACTACCAAGTAATTACCAATTACTGGTGATGTAGTAATTTTATTTTATTTTTATTTTTTTCAGGAAATGTACTAAATTTTAATTATTATAAGTTTTACTAATTAATAATAAAAGATGTTGCTCAAAGTTTTGCATCAGCATGCGTATCTAGAAGAAATGCTTCAATTTAAAAAATATGCGGGGAGGTGAATGTCTCAGCCTCTAGCAACTAAAGACTTTAATATCTCTAGCAAAGGACCAATCTATAAATAAAGATAGATATATATATATAAATAAATAAAAAATAAAAACAAAAAAAAATGTCACATGACTCCAATAGAAAGAAATAAAAAAAAAATTGTTTTTTGCCAACCACTTTTATAGTACAATGTCACATACTTTTGTAGTACAATGCCCCGAAAATTGCAAAGTCTAGTACTCCCTTCGTCCCCGAAAGAACGACCCATGTGGCCTAATTTTAGTCCCAAAAAGAATAATCCATCTATAACTATAACTAAAGTAGAAACCGCTGACGTCATTTTCCCCAACCTGGACACGTGTCACTTTATTATAAAAAATTTTCCATCCAAATTGTCTTGCATGTTAAACAAATATTGAAAAAAAAAACAAAAATTATTATCACTAGATAATACTAGATACATTATTGTTATTTTTATAAGTAAAAAAAATGATAATTGAAATCTATGATAATAAACTACTTTTCCTAAAATTGAGGGTAAAGATGGGCATGGGCAGTGCCGGCACGCGGGCGGCACGGGTCCGGCACGGTCCGGCACGACGGCCCACCTGTGGGCCGTGGGCCGTGTCGTGAACAAAAATCTGGGAATCGGCACGAGCACGGCACGAGGCATGGCCGGCCCATGGGTCGGCACGCCGGCACGACACGTGGCACGGCAGCGGTAATTTAATTTTTATTATATGTATTGTTGTTTTTTGCTAAATTAATAAAATTATTTATATAAACTTAAACATAATTAGATAAATAATTTTTATAACCTTAATTAAAATAAAGTTTGTTCAAAACAAAATATATTAACATTAACATAAACATAAATTAATAACATTATTTATATAAAATTAAGTTGTACTAAAAAATATTTATATATCGATTTTTTTTTACGTTCATTTTTTTTTTAAAAAAAAAGTGGCACGGTTAGGCCTGCGGCCCGGCACGGCACGGCCCGCCAAGCACGTGGGCCGTGCCGTGGGCTGGGGTGTGCCAAATTTAGGCACGGCACGGCACGGCCCCGCCGCGAAGCCGGCACGGCACGACACGTCCACCACCGCGGCACGGCCAGGCACGGCCCGCGGTGGCACGGCACGGCCCGTTGCCCATGTTTAATTGAGGGATAGATGATGTTCTTCATCTGAGATTCTGAGCAATCTTTATTTATTGAGTATAGTTATTTTTGTCTTATCCCAAACCTTATCTACTTATCTCTCTCTCTCTCTTTTTTTTTTAGGTACTCAAAGTTGAGGAAGTAATAAGGGAGGTTAGTTATGCATTTGTAAATGCATAACAAATACTAAAATATTAAAAAGCACATGGGGGTGAGAGAAAGGATGAGAGAGATGGGTAAGTTGGACCACTTTTTAAATGTACCGTTAAAAACTTAGATAGTACCATTGACTATGCAGAGATACTATTTCTACCGTAGTGATACTATTTCTACACGTAGTGAGTACCACTGAATGAATATATAGTACCACTACATACATAAATAGTACCACTGAAATATTCAATGATACTTTTTAATCATCTAGTGATACAATTGAACACCCAGTGGTACTACTCTAAATTCAGAAATGTATTTACGTAAAATGATCCCCATGCCCCTCGTTATGCATTTACTCATACATAACTAACCTCCCTTTGGAAGGCCTCACTCAAAGTTATATAATTTGCAATTTTTTGGTGTAAACTATGTACTTATACTCATATATGGGAAAAGGTTGAAAATGCACTATTCCAATATAACGTGTCATCATAATTTAAAATTTAAATCAAAGGGCCCTTGCGAGCCTTAGCCATTTAGGAAAGGGCTCGTTCCGGGGAGATACTACGGATGAAGAAGGGGAGACCTTACTTTCACACGCATGAAAGCGAACGACGCGAATTAATTTTTACTATAAATAGATGGGCATCTTAGAGCAACTCCAATGGTAAGCTAATTGTGAAATTAGCTTGCCATGCCACCTAAGATTGCAAAGCTAATCTACCTTGTAGCTAATTTATCCCACAATGTTAAGCTAATTTTCAATAATTTTTTTTATTTATTTAATTTTTTTTAATTCCTACAAGTATTATTTATTTATTAATTTTTTTATACACAGTAGCTAATTTGTTTTATACTACAGTAATTTTTTTTATGGGTATAATAGGTAGGGTATGGTAACAATTACTTCGCTAATTTCAATTAATAATTTCGTATAATAAAAAATTTAAACATTCAATTATTTCAAAATACAGTATTCGATTAAAAATAAGAAGACTTAACAATGAAATAATTTTTTGGGTTGTAAGGAATGTCATTGTGTTGATTAATATTTATTGTTGGATTATTAAGGTGAGCTGATCGGATTGGAGAAATCTGAGGATTTGATGAATTTAGAGGTCTTGATAGAGGGTTTTGAATTTCAACGTTTTGAGAATTTCTTACAAAATTGAAATATGGGGTGAATGAATCATCATAATCCATTTGAAAACCTTAAATTTATTAATTTGAATACACTATTAGATAAAAAACAACTTTCAATATCAAGCTCTATAGCAAAAACTAATTGTGGAAAGATGTGTTATTAATGTGGTTATATATATATAAAAATAAATAAATAAAAGGGTGATAAAGTTGAAAAAAAATCCATTAATTTTGAAATAAAAGGGTTGATAAAGTCAGTATACATGTAATACATTGAAATCCACTAAAAGTTTGTTAATTTGTCCTTATCATATACTATACAAAGTAGTATATTTCTTTTTTTTTTTTTATAATTATTTTAATTATTTTTTTATTTTTGAATAGTCTATAAAGTAGTATATGAATAATTGAATATTATATAAGTATTTCACATGAAGTATCCAATTCTAGTACTCTATTACTATAACAACCATGCTAAAAGTACTCTACTAGTCAAGAATAGTGCCAAAAAAATCTTGAAACCAAAATTGAAAAAGTAAAAACAAAAAATATAAAAAAAAATAAAGTTGATAAATAGCACCGTAAAAGCTGCAAGTTTTATGTATAAAATAACAAAGATATAACAATTTACCTACAAAGTAGTACATGAATTCACATATAAAAGCTGCAAAAGTAGTCAACTAGTATAGGATAATGACAAAAGTACCTAAAACAATAAATATAAATGTAAAAATATAATTAAAATTATATAAAAAAAGAAATGCAACTTGAGAAATGCAATATGGCGTCAGACAGTCACGCAAAGAAATTCTTGTTAGCGTGAGATACACGCAGCAATTATTTGTTGTTTGTTCCATTTGGCACAATTTGCTAAGCGAATTTGATTAGCTAAGCGAATAGCTTTGCCCAGTTAACTTTGTAATGCAATTTTAACCGTTAAGCTAATTATTTATTAGTTTCATAAATTGCAAGCTAGTCCCAATTTTACATTGTTGGAGTTGCTCTTACGAAATCATAACTTATCCATTTTAAAAAAATACGTAATACCTCTGTTTCGCAAACATAAGTATTAAAATGGCAGAAGTATCCAATTTCGTGGAAGAAATTACACCAATGATGGAGATCATGACTATTAAGATAAGAATTGTACGGTTGTGGAAACCTCCAAGTTTTGAAAATCCAAATAAAGATGGCAGTATTGAAATGGTGTTTTAGATGAAAAGCTAACCAAATATCTAATACTAAATAACTCATATATCATATTTTTAATATACTCTAATCATCTTATCCGATTTTTTTGTTTGCATGTATAGGGTGGTAGAATTCAAGCTACAGTTAAGAAGTATTTGATTAGAAAATTTTCTGATATGCTTGCGGAAGGCCACTTACGTATCATTGGTAATTTTGGTGTTGGGGAAAACACCGGAGATTTTAGGGCAACACACCATCTCTACATGATTAATTTTTTCTACTCAACAACTGTTAATGTTTGTGAAGAAAACTTACCCATCCCTCTACATGGGTTTAACTTAATATCATTTGATGATATATTATCAAAAAAATTGGATGATAAGTTCCTGATAGGTAAGCTATATAACTTAATCTATTTACTAATATTTAAAATATTCTATGTAATACGAATACATTATAAAATCAATTTTATAATCATGGGATTTTTTTATAGACATTATTGCACAAGTTGTGGTAGTTGGTTCTATTGAATCTATTGAACAAAATGGAAAGGAAACTAAGAGACTTACTATAGAATTGAATGATATTAGGTATATTTTCTTTCCTTTGGCACTTAATATATTTTACTACACTACATTTTTTTTTGGTGATTTATATAACATGTATAGTTTCATGAATATTGCAGGGTTACAAAACTAACATGAACTTTATGGGATCAATATGCGAAGATGTCTTCAACTTTTTTGAAACTAATGATCCAATGCTTGCTATTCTTATCCTCCAATTTGGAAAAATTAAGGAATGGAGAGGTATCGAAAAAATATTCAATTGTATTTCACAAAATGATTACAACCTGAAATTGACAAACCAATGTACTGTATTGCATTGGCCACAATTGTAAGTCTCCAATTGGAACATGGATGGTATTATTTAGCATGCAAAAAATGCAACAAGAAAGTAACAGAAAACAATGAAAAAATATTTCACAATGATGGTGAAAAGTCAGCCACTACTTTCTTCTGCAAAAAATGCAACAAATCGATTGTTGCTGAAGATGTAATTCCAAGGTTGGTATACATGTATATAGATATATTACACAATAGAATTATTCATTTTTATTTATCAATGATGGAATTTGATATAATAATAACCTCATACAAATTTTTAACCAAGTTCAAAGTTCGGATTCGAGTAATTGATGAAAGTGGTACTGCATCATTTGTCATGTTCGATCGGGAAGTAATGTCTATTGCGCACAAGTCTGCTTATGATTTGAAGGACTCTTTATCAAGGGTGCAGTTATAGTGTGTATATAGGAAGAAACTTAATCAATCACCTCTATTTAAAAATGGCTATACTAACTATTTACTTACCAAATATATAAATTCAATAGGTTGATGATATTGATTCATGTCAAGAGGAACTCAACAATCTTGTGGGAAAAAAGTTTCTTTTTAAAGTTGAGATTTCTAATTACAACCTCAAGCAAAAGTGGGAAGTTTATGCTATAAATAAGATGAGTGATAATGATGACCTAATGCAGTCTTTCTTAAGTACTTCTACCATCACTAAGGTTTATATTATATTTTTAGATAAGTTAATTTTTTTGCTGTAACTTAATGTATGCAATTTTTTCCTTACTTATGCTTTTCTCCTTCATAGGATGATGCTTCAAATTCTATATCAATCAACTACGATGGACATAAAGCAATCGTTGACGTTGAGAAGGTAATGCTGATTACAACTACGTACAACAACAATTTTCAAAAAATAAAAAAATCAAAAAAATTAAAAGTATATCAGTTATAAACTTTATTTACTTATGCTATAATTTGTAGGAATCAATTTCATGCGTTGAAGATAATGATCAACTGTTAGGGTCATCTCCTAGCATATCAATTAAACAATCAATAGAAGTTGATTCATGTGACTTTGAAGCTGAATTATCTACCACTAAGAAGAAGAAGACTGAAGTGAAGATTGAAAAGGATGAGAATTGATACATAGGCTGCAATGAAGTTTATATATTCTGGAATCAAACATCAAGAGGCTGTGTCTTTTTGTTATGAAAAATAAATTTAGGATTTCCTCTTGAAACCTTATAAGGTTGATGTTTAGTGTTTATGTTTAATGATTAGGATTTTGGAATGACTAATTTTCTATGCATATGTCTCTTTTGTTATGATGAATAGATTTTGGATTTCCTTTTGAAACCTTATAATGTTAAGATGTTCTATGTTTTTTTTAATGATTAGGATTTTGGAATGACTAATTTATATGCATGTATCTTTACTTTACAATAACTTTTCATATAACCTAAAACATAAGTAGACATTATTCCCTTATTAAAGTGCACTTAAAAAGAAATATACTGACAAAAGTTGTAAAAAAAGATAAAGATTTGGAATAAATTAGTTCATTTGAAATTACGTTAACCTCTTATAAATTTGGCTAATATAGATCCATCCTCTAAAAATGGTTTCATGCTTAACAATGAAGGAAAAAATGCTTAACAAATATTTTGTTAGACTTGAAAACATTTAAGTGTGCCTCAAAAAAGTTCAAATTGTAGCAAAGGTGAAATTATCTCTACAACAAATATTAGATTCCATGTTCTTAAAGGAAACTTCATCATATAAATCACATCTACTTTTACATGGGTACATTATTTATTATAAATAAATAAATTACTAAGATACTTTGCTAGAATTGTGGATCAATAATTAGGTAAAGGAAAAAAATTAAATATCTCAAACTATTTCAGATAAGAATACTAATAATATTTACATAGGATGCCAAAAAAAAATTAAGGAATGAATTATGGCATAATTAGAAATGAATTAATACTAATATCCTTTTACATGGGTACAAAGATAAATAAATAATGGCAACAACTCTTCATATATTTTTGAACTCTTATTGTTATTGTTTCCCTACTTTATAAAAAGTAGAATCTTGCTCTTATGAATAGTGTTGTGACAATTATAACCCCAAAAATGTGTATTTATGCATTTGCCCCTATTTAATATTATAAGTTTTTTTTAATACTGTATATCTTCTCTATGTTATTACATACTTTTTCATCTTCACATTCAATCGGTTGAATTATTGGTTTCAAGTTTCAACCACAAAGTCACTAACAATCTTCAAAGGTACTTTTCAATTTTAATTTCAATTGTTTTATAAGGTTTTGATTGATTTTAGATTTTAAGGTATTATACTTTTAAAATTTTAGGGTCTAGGTATTCATCTATTTTTCCTAAATTTGATTGGATTTTGAAAGAAAAAAATATAGTTGATAATTGAAGTGAATGGAGAACCAGAAACACTATAAGCGAGGGAAATATACCAACTTCCGAGCACTACCCCATGGAATCCCCTCATGTCTCTTTCTATTTTTTCAATTTGATCATTTCATGAATATTTGTCAGTGACTTTGTGGTTTGTCCAGTTAAGCGCTACCACAAATCCGATCAAAAGGTACTTTAATTTTTTCCCTATCGATTTTTTAGGATTTTTATTTTTGATCTTTAGATTGTACTTTGGTTTTGATTTTGGGGATTGTAGAATTTTACAAAGGTGGCTTTCAACATTGCTATTAGATTCGTTGTTATGAGATGCAAAGGACATCTAAATTTCGATTATAATTTTGGGGTTAAGAGCGTAAAATGAGAGTCCACAACTTTAAAAGATGCAATTTTTCAAGGTACATGTTTTTTAAAGGGAGTAGAATGCCTTTGTGCTTAGGCTCTGAATGTATATTCTATATTTGAAGGAAAGGAGGTGTGAGTAGTTCTCTTATCAATCGTAACCTACCTTAAAGGTTTATTGTTACTTGTTAGAAGAGAAGATACCACTAATCTGGTGATATTCTAATATGATGCATCCTAATAATGTTATATGCTCTGCATCTGATGAGTATCAGTTTAATGATTTAATGTATTTCTTTGTATTGTTGAGTTGAATTAAGCTGAGCTCAACCTTGCCTGCATTGGATAACTCAGCTCTTCTTACATTGGGTTTAATTACAGAGTATTAAAAAATAAAAAATAAAGCCCCTGGACCAATATACAAAGAGAGGAAAAAAAAAAGCTACTCCGTATTTTATTATTTTGGATTTTTACATTGGGTTCAAGCTACCAAACTTTATATTAGATGATAATATTAGACTTAACAGCAATACTAAATATAAATGTACGTTGCATTGGACTAGAGCAAAATCCAAACTCAAAACTAAAATTTAACACCTGAGAGTCCTAACTACTCATAGGGTACCCAAGAACAAATTGATGCAAAATTTCATTATTCTTCTGTTTGTTTCTCTTTGTTTTTTAGCTTGTAATATGTATCAAAATTTTATTCTAGAGAATCATCTAGACTTTATAAGAAAAGCATATAAATGCTATTTTTTACTCTTTAAAATACATAAGAAAAGGTTAAGGATATATGATTTTGAACTTAATAGTCGATTATTACTCTTTCTAAAGGTTCATTGTATTAATTCTTACCAGTTTCAAGGTATTTAAAGATTGCATAAGACATTTTACGTGCAAAATGCTTACTAATCATAACTATGTACAAGCTAAAATCTTAAGTACAAAGACAAGGCTTGATAACTTCTCCGCATTGGCTAGCCATGCGCGCGTTGGCCACCCTAGTTTACTAAAATATGGGACTTTGTTGTAATCTTTATCAACAATACCAAAAACCAAGCGTTTACTATTCAAGTGCAGCCTTTTCCCTCCCATTTTTTAGTCAATTGTTCAAAATTTTAGTTGGTTAGTGCTAATTTATTTTCTTTTTCCCCTCATCCCTCTTTATTTCACCCTAACTCATTAGAAGAAAATCAGTCATTTATTGAATAGTACAAAAAAAAAAAAAGTCCTATGGAGAAAGACAACAAAAAATGGCAAGGATGAAAAGAAAATTGATATTGACCAATAAGAGGCGTAAGACCAACAATACATTAATGCAAGGTATGATTTCCACCTATAGTACTCAATTATTTTGTCATCAACATGTTTGTTTTGCATTTAATTTGCTTACATCAAACTCAACCAGATGCATTGCAGAAAATTATTATCCGAATTCAAATCAACAATCCATGGGAAATTCATCTGTGTTATCTTCGCACTCTTTTGAAAATAAAAGCATGTCCGGATTTCCACTGAAAGACATATCAAATAGTACGTTAATTTAATTTCAATTTATCATGTAACACCTATATTTATTTTATGTTACATGAGACTAACCTTTAAAAATTAATTAGCTTTCATGACACCTCCATCAATAGCCTTGACACACTTGCGTGGATGTTCTTCATCCGAGCAATCTTTTCCAAGTAGTGCTATCATCAGTACCGGAAAACAAGTGATTCAAAGTGCTTCTACTATTAGTCATGCTGTAAAGAACATATCGAACGTAACTGATGATTCAATACAACATAATCTTGATACTACTCTATGCAAAAAAACATGTAAATGATAATTGTAAATTTAAATTTTATATCATTCAATTTTATGTAAAAACTATATACTTACCTATTTTGATAAATATAGTTTCAGGAAAAACCTCGATTGACAATTTTGGACCATCGTGAATGTCCTTCTCAAAGTGGTCAACTGAGAATTGGATCTAATGCCTTAAGCTCTGGAAAGCATATCATTAGAAATGACACTTTCAGCCGAAAGTCTCCCAGTAAGTCAACTTTCTTCTCACTATTATTCTGATCAATTTTTTTATATATTGTTTATATAATAACACTATACCCACTTTATTAATGGCACCCTCAATGGTACCAGTCACACCTTTATCAAGGCACTCTTGTCAACATCGACCACCTGTAATAAACCATGATAAAACTACATTGCCGTCAACAAGCTACAACATAAATGTTTGTAGAGATACAACTCCGGACAATCAAATCATTGCAATGGACGAAGTGCATGAGTCCATGATTACAGGTTTTGCCTTAAAAATCACTAATTACTTTTTTATTTTTTTTTTTTATTTTATATTTGGCTTTAACTTAAGTGAGCACTCATAAATTAAACTACACAGGGTCTTTTTCAGAAAATGCGGAGAGTGATAATAATGTGGAGGAGGATATTGATGATATTTCGATGCATACAACAGGTTTCTTCTTAATTTACAATGAAGCACATTCACAAGCATCTATTCATACACAACATTATAATATTTTTGTCATCATAGTTGCAAATTAATTATTTATATTCATGTTAGGAGAATATTGGGATATTGGAGATCCAATATGGACACGCACATCTTGTGGTGCAAGGATGTGGTATGAAGAGAGAGTTCGAAAAAATAGAAGATCATCTCAACCGAAATTTTCATTTTGTTGTATGCGTGGGAAAGTAAAACTACCTTTATTGAAAGATCCTCCTCTAATTCTTAAAAGGTTTCTTGAAAATAAGGATGCTAAAAGTAGACGCTTTATTAAAAATATCCGCCTCTTCAACATGATGTCCTCTTTCATATCAATGGGTGGAAAGGTCGATTATTCTATCAATAACGGTCGTGGGCCATATGTGTTTAGTTTACTTGGACAAAACTACCATAGGATTGGAAGTTTACTTCCGAACCCAGGGTCATCTCCAAAGTTTTCACAACTTTACATACATGATACTGATAATGAAGTTTCGAACGGAATCTCTTCAGTCAGGTTAGTTTGATAAAATATTTTTAACCATGAGAATATCTTACAAATAAGAAATTTTGGTCCCTTTTCATTACTATATATACCCTAATTTTTTCTTTTATTTATGTTTCAAATACATGTGTAATTGATATAATTAAATTTCGCGAGATAACTTAGATGCATATGGTGCTGATATTGTTGAGGATTTAAAGAAAATGCTAGATGAGCATAACCCTCTAACTCAGTCATTTCGGATGGCAAGAGATCGATTTGATTCAAATGAGTGTGAAAATATCAAGCTAAAGCTGATTGGAAGAAGGGGTACAGATGGAAGGACAT